GAGGAGAATTTGGCTGAAGGAATCAGTACATTTTTCATTCATATGTTGCGGATATATATACACAAAGTTTACAAGCTTTGTCATGCAATGACTAAGCATTTGTTATTAGAATAAATGACACGTATAAAGAGATGTATAACTTTGCTTAGTCTACAAGATATATAATTCTAAGTCGACAAAGTAGATATGAATAATTCATATTATAATAATTTTCATATTCATATTATAATAATATTATTAATATTAACAAAAATCGTCACATATTGCAGTTTTTTTTAACCACCCCTAAAATCTCACAATTTAGGGGTTGTTGTTGGTGGTAATACCTACACGCAAGTGCACTGTTAAGTGTATATTTTTACACTTTATCATATCTTTTTATTTGAGCTTTTGGTGTGATTTAATGATAATTGGTGCTTAAAAAGTTGATTTATTGCATTTTAGGTATAAATTGAAGAATTGGAAAAGTTTGGGGTCAAAACTGCAAATTTGGAGAAAATATGGGCCAAAAGTGAAATAATCAAAAATATGCGGAAATTGGCTGAAAACAGGCCCGCACGGCCGTGCCAAAATTAGCCTATTTTTGGCACGGCCGTGCCAAATGCTGAATTTGGGCAGAAGGTTTGGCGATTCTCGCGCGGCCGTGCGAGAATTGCACTGATTTTCGCGCGGCCGCGCCAACACACGCTGGACACAATTTTGGACTTTTAATCACACAAGGAAACCTAAAATCATCTACCAAGTTGGGACATCTATTTAAGCACAAACCAAGCACGAAGTAAGGGACTTTGGAGACAACCTTGGAGCGAGAGGAGCGAGAGAACGAAGAATCGAAGACGGAGAATTGACAACTCTTCATCACAATTCTTCTTTTATCTATGTTTTCTTAATCTATTATTTTTATGTTTTTATTATGTTTTTCGTAGAGAACATGCGTAGCTAAGTTTTTAATCTAGGATTTTGTTGGAACCCTATGTAGGGATTGCGAACCCTTTTTCTTGAGATTATGCAATTATGATTTTATGATTATTTCTTCTACTTGTTATGATTGTTAGTGCATGAACTTGATCAATTTATGTGCTTTATCTGTGATTATTGGGATTGACTCGACAGAGCTATTTTGATAATTAGACGGTAAGTAGAAGAGCCTTCGAGTAGTTTTCACCGGATGAGTGTGTCAATTGCATGTGGTGTCGTAGACATACAGATATCACCTTAGGTAGCCATTTACGAGACTTGTTAGTTAATGCTTTATTTATAATTGGTTTGCATAGACATATAGTGAATCGTTTATGAATAATAGACTCATAATACACGCGACAGCGGGTTATGAGTAAATTTGTGTCTCGGGTTAATAATCATAAATCATATATTTCATAATTGAGGGGTTTTGGGTGAGCAATTCTTGCATAGGGGGAAGATAAAATCCTAGGTCCGTTTTATATTGATATTTTGTCGTGATTCTTTGCTTTCTTAATTAGTTTAATTGTTTAATTGATTTAATTCGACAAACTTGATAGTTGTTAGAATTTGGTACTTAGGATTAGATAATTTACGCATTCCCTGTGGGATCGACATCCGACTCTCACGAGTCCACTTTTGCTACTTGTTTGCGATACGTGCACTTGCGTGTTAGGTATTTGGCAAAGTTTTTGTGCTAAACTCCATTTTCTCCTTTTCTCCCAAAATTATCAACTCTCATTTACAAACTCCTACTGTGATTGATGAGGATAATTATGGTGATTTTACTGAGGTTTGTAAAAGCATGAATGTTTCTAGTTTCTTAACTTTTTTTATACATATTTTACCCTTATTTAGTAAGTTACACTACATATTATTTATGATTAATAAACTAAAAATGTTATTGATATTTCAATATTATTAATATTTCATTTAATGCATTTAATTAGTATATCATGCTCTCCCCTACTTTAGACATACGATTTTTTGTTTCTCTTTATAACATAATGAAAAGTCATGCACATTTTCTCTTTCTATTATATTTCTTTGGTTATGTTTTGTATTTTTCTCTACTTTTCTTTATAGTAATTCTTTTCGTTTTTTTTTTCATTTTTCAACTACACAACTCTATTTTTCAAAACAAATAAACGAGAAAGTAACAATTGCTGTGCATTTTTTGACGGGCTAAAAGAATGATGAGTAAATTACAAACACCCCTGAGTTGAGGTATAATTATAAAAATCCATTTTTGTATAATTGCATTCGCGCGTGTATTAGGTTTATTACAAATTTTAATTTGATATATTTGTTAACCCAATGGGCTACATATTCATAAAGGAATCCAGACCAAAAACGTTTTTACAAAAAAGTCCAAACAATGTCCAGAGGTGTGTAAATGACTAAAATACCTCTCACAATTTATTATGCTCCAATTTCATCATGTAATCCAATTTAACATTAATCCGACCCCAAATTTTACCAATTATTCAATTTTGATCCATAACCCAAATTTGGCCATCGCCGCCGTTGACAGACGATCTCTGGTCTTGACTCTTTTTTTTTTTTTTTTTTTAATATCTTTTTTTTTAGCCGGTGTTCGGCGGTGTTGACTATTTTTTTTCTTTTTTGAAACTTGGTTTCTTGAACATTTTTGTCCGTTTAATTTGTAATAATACTGTAGTTGACAGTAATATTAAGTTTAATTAGTAGTAGAGATGTGATAAATGCCGTTCGAGCTTTAATAATACCGTTACGATTTCAAACGTGATTTTGATCATTTTTAATTCCAAATTTTGCAAAACCCGAACAATAGAATCTGTAGTATTCTGAGTTACTTTTATAATCCAACTTGAATCACCAAAATTGGATATCGGACGAGAAAGATATACATGAATCAATGGATACTGCCCACAACTTTGATGTATTGAGGTATCTAAGAATCAAAATGTGACTCATTCATGCATAACTTTGTCACACTGCATCTAATCTGGCAGATTTAAGTTGGATTAGAAAGCTAACCCAAAGGTGTACAATTTTCGTGTTTTGAATTTTGCCAAAATCAAAATAGAAATATGTCAAAATCAGGTTCGAAGTCAAAACGACATTAGTAAAATTGAAACGACATTTAACATTCAATTAGTAATAATATTTTTAACAAAGTAATATTAACTATACTATTGTTTAACACAATAATATTACTATATTACTCTTTAGCACATTAATATTAACACAACAAAAACAACTATTATTGTTTAATACAGTAAAATTAATATATTGACCGTTCAATATGGCAAATATAAAAGCCAAAAAAAATTAATATTGATGTGGTTAACAGTAATATTACTGTCAATCATAGTAGCATTATTATAACCACATTAATATTATTAGGTTGACCGATCAACAAATCAAAAGAAAAAAAAAATAATATTAATATAGTCGATAGTAATATGGTCATGTTTACGATTATTGTACTGTCTAATTATTTATTTAAGTGGTCTACCTAGTATCATTTCTCCAATTGAGAGGGTGCTGCTAATTTTCCCAAAATATTAACTTCATGCGCGTAAAAACTTTGAATGCTTGACTTTTCCTTGTAATGATTGAGGAAAAATAAAATACTGAAGAATGTAAGATTATACAATGCTATTTTAGTCAAATGAAATCAGATATAAATGTATGGGAATAAAATAATTGAATTAATATCCAAAGGGTGGGGACCACCAATGTTCCGTAAAAGTGTTTCCTAGTTGCTTCCTGCTATTAGATTCATTCCACCAAACTAAAGAAAATAAAAATTAAAAACTAATTAAACCCGGGCCTGGCCGTGTTTATTTTTATTTTCATAGTTTATTATTTTAGTTTATGGGGCGGTCTCTGGGTCGGGTTCGGGTCAAACCCGGCCCGTGGCCATGTCTAATTGGACCCATACTGCAACGGAGTACGAATATGACCGACTTGAAGATCATCGACAATAGGTAGTGAAGGCCAGGCTCCGACTGCATATAGCTTCTTCTCTCGCTCTCTTCGCTTGTTCTCTTGTCCATGCTTTCCTTCTACGATCGGATGCAGGAAGTCTCCGGTCTCTAATACGATCCGGATCATCCGGATTGTTCGACTTCCCACCCAAAGCTTTCATCAAACTCTTACCTTTTCTCGCAACCTGACTCATTAAACTTTTCCCTCTATCTCCGGCCATCTATAATTTAACATAAAAGTTGAATTAGTATTTAATTAAGAATAAATAAATGAATAAATAAAAATTAAAAATTAAGTTCTCGTGTGAAAACAAGCGAGCAGATCTATTATGTTCGTGTCCAGGCCCGTGAGAACAATAGATCTGTTCGCGTTTTCGCACAAGCAACATAAACGAAAAAAACAAAAATTAAAACCTAATTAAAATAAATAGAGCTCGTGTGATTTTAGGCGAGCTCGGTGAAATAAGCTCGCGTGGTTTGACACGAGCACAACCCTCATGTTGGCGTAATACGCGTGCGGATGCAATTATAAAAAAAATGAATTTTTATAATTATACCTCAACTCAGTGGTGTTTGTAATTTACTCATCAATCTTTTAGCCTGTCAAAAAATGCATAGCAATTCTTACATTCTCATTTATTTATTTTGAAAAATAGAGTTGTGTAGTTGACAAATGAAAAATACGAAAGGAATTACTATAAAGAAAAAGTAGAGAAAATACAAAATAAAACCAAAGAAATATAATAGAAAGAGAAAATGTGCATGACTTTTCATTATGTTATAAAGAGAAACAAAAAGTCGTATTTCTGAAGTAGGGGAGAGCATGATATACTGATTAAATGCATTAATTGAAATATTAATAATATTGAAATATCAATAACATTTTTACTTTATTAACCATAAATAATATGTAGTGTAACTTACTAATTAAGGGTAAAATAGGTATCACAAAAAAGTTAAGAAACTAAAAACATTCATGCTTTTAAAGGTAGGGTAGATTAAGGATAGGGTATATACATTATGGTTGATTTGATTGATTAATTTGCAAAATGAAAGGATCAAATATCAACAACAAAGATCATATTATTCAGCTCTTTCAGGAATTTAGTAGCTTCAATACAATAAAGTTTTTTTATCTTTTTTTACAAACAACACAACAAAGTTCTACAATGGAAAATAAAAAAGAGAACAACTACTCTTCTAATATGATTGACATCTGAGTTTGATAATGTTTTCCATCTATGGGATTTGTAGTAGCTGGAAATGGATTCGGAGGCAATGTAAGATCGTCACATTCTCCTTCCAACATTTGAACCACAACTTTCATTGACGGACGATCTGTCGGACACCACTGTATACACCACAACCCTACTATACTAAGTTTCCTTGCTATACTATTTCCTTCTTCATCAATTTGTGCCCACATTGGATTATCCTCAACATTTATATGATTGTATATCCATTGAGGAAAATATACCTGACTAGTATTATTTGCATTATGATCCTCATTTTTCCTCCCTCCTACCATTTCGAGCAACAACATTCCGAAGCTATAAACATCGGACTTATACGAAACCCTTCCGAAAGTCCTGGACAGAACTTCAGGTGCAATATATCCCATTGTTCCTCTAGCCGCAGTCATTGTCACTGCACTTTGTTCCTTTGAGCACAACTTTGCAAGGCCAAAATCGCAAATCTTCGGGTTGAGGTTGTGGTCCAACAAGACGTTTTGCGGTTTTATATCGAAGTGGAGTATTTGTTGATCACATCCCTCGTGTAGATATTCTATGCCTTTTGCTATGCCTAGCGCAATATCCTTTAGCTTTTCCCAATCAAGAGCAATTCTATTCGAACCTGCTTGGAAAATGGACTTTTCTAAAGAACCGTTTGGTAAGAATTCATAAACAAGAGCTCTTCGAAATCCATCGGCACAAAATCCGAGAAGACGCACAATGTTGACGTGGTGTATTCTCCCAATCGTACTTACTTCATTGACAAACTCCTCTCCGTTTCCCTTGGAATTGTTGAGTACTTTCACCGCAACATCTATTTCATTGTTCAACTTTCCTTTGTAAACAATTCCGTAACCCCCTTCACCCAATTTCTCGTTAAATTGATGAGTAATCCTTTTTATGGCCGAATATGAAAATCTACTCGGCTTAAGGGCTCCGTAATCTCGCAAAAACTTCCCAATCATCGTTCGGTTCTCTCGGTATATTCTAACCCTGATGTAAAGATAGAGGAAAGCTACGAGTAATATCGCGGCAAGAATGGAACCAAAACCTTTGAAATGGAACGTATAAGTTAGATTTTTAAACCAATCCATTAGAAAAATATATAAAAAAAAGAGGAACAGAAAAAAATGTTCACCTTCAATTAGTTTCTTGTTTCTTGCTCCTGTAAGCAAAATAATTATTTAAGCTTCTTTTTCATGGAAACTACAACGAAATAATATCCAAATAAACACGAAAGTACCGTGATGATTTGTGTTTGGGAGTTGGTCAAGACACTGATTATGACGATCCGATGCCGTATGATTATACGAGCTGCATCTTTTGTCTCTATCTTCACATTTGTAACATGCTGGTTTAGACCACCGCAAAGAGAAGTAACTCCATCGAAGATTTTGATTCAACGGCATAGATTTGGTAGTTGGAATTGCCAAGGCAAGGAATTACAGTACGTAAATCTCTTCCTGGTGGATCAGAACAATTGAACAGGGTATAATCGTCCGCATCCGTAAAGTAATTTGTCAGGAAAGGCGAGGCAGATAGGTTTAGATCACGTGGTAGCTTTTGTGTAAGACACATTTCTTGGTCATAAACAAGAATTGTTTGAAATGCATAGTCTATTTCCTTCACAACAACATTTACAGAGAAGGGAAGCACAAGAACAGTATCGTTTTTATGGTCGCAGTATAAATCGAAACCTGGATAGCCACACTGCTGAGGTTGCTGATTTTTTTGTCTGAAAGGAAACAGAATTATCGGGCCATCGCCTCTGCATCTGGTTGGCATACAATCATCATCGTTTCCTAGTACTAGTACAACAAGTGGTAAGAACAAAAGAAAGTAAACGAAGGGAGACATGATCTGAATTATGAAGATTTCTCTATTTGCTATTACCATTTATCTTCAAAGTAAACTGTGGTGCAGATCAAATGATAGTACTTCATATATATTATTAAACTGTTTTCTTCAAGTCACATTCTTGACTAGTTCCTTAACTGACGTGATCATAAATTCGTTTCTTTTGCAACTAGCATAAATCTTAAAAAAAATTACTTGAATACTTTCACATACTAGCACATAAAATAATCCAGAATTTAATAGCGAAATCTTTTTCATTTAATTTTTTTGTATAGAAATTCTCTCTCCTACTCTCAAACTATCTCAAGACATTCGCATTTCGGAAAATAATTTTACCTTTTACTGAATGCAGCGGAATCTTATTCATTTAATTTTTTTGTTTCAAAATTATCTCTCCTACTCTCAAACTCTCTCAAGACATTTTGTTTAGAAATTCTCCCTCCTACTCTCAAACTTTCTCAACACATTCGCATTTCGGAAAATAATATTACCGTTGATCTCCACACAAATACAAGTGAATACTTTTCTTCTTGCTTTTCCCAATGTATTAAAATTTTGGATAACGAATAATGTACTATCCATCGTCCAACTCATTATTCCATTCAGAACAATGTAGTATATTTGATTGGAAGGTGATCTACTAATCCATCACGTTAACAAGTTGGACTAGGTTAAAGGTGCAGTATAAATTCAATCATATTTTAAGCTAATAAAATCACAATTATTGCAATTTGCATACATACATGTTCTAGATAAGTCATTTACTTGAAAAGTAGAAATAAATTAAGCACATAGCAAATGTTCTATATAAGTCATTTACCTTCCGTCATGCAAATTGCAATGCAAATCAACATCAATAAAAAATAAGCAAAAATGCAATAATACCTAAAACATATAACTGCAAAATATGGTCTTGAATAAAAATATAGTCGAGAAACTTTGAAAACTAACATCAACAAAAATAATCAAGTCAAATTTGCAAAAGTTGATAGGGGAAACGGCACAAACATTAAACTCACTCGAAAAGACTGAAACCAAGGTCATCATCAGATTCATCGGCGGGCTCTTCTTTCTTCTTGTTGCGCCTATTAATCAGCCCACCACTGGCACTCTGCTGCTCAATTTAGATTCAACATCAGCGACCAATCTCAGCGAAAAACCCAGATGAACAATTGAAGGAATCAGAAAGTTCAATGATGGATCTCGTGCCTAGGGTGTCAGAGGAGCACCGTGTTTTCGGTAATTACAGTCTTTTGCCTTGTGACCCGGTTTTCCACAGACAAAGCAACCATTAAGTGCATACCTATTGTTTCTCGGTGGTGGTCGATTATAAGATGGAGCAAGATAACCTTTGTTTGGGCCATAGTGTGAATTCTGACTAGGATACTTGTTAGATGTAAATTTATTATTTCCATTGGACTTCATAAATTTACCCTTAGGTTTAAGGCGAGCATAATTTTTTTAGGTCTATTATTTGCGAAAACTAAATGTACCTTTTCGTGATAACTTTCTTTGTCTTGTTTCCTTGCTACTTCCTCGATTCGCATCCGTGCCATGAGATTGAACAACTTCAATTCGCTTTGTTTATGTAGTAGGGTCTTTTGGAATTCCTTCCACGATTCCGGTAGCTTGTCGATTATGGCGGCGACATGCATTTGTTCGTCGATTTTAATGCCCTCAGTTTCGATATCTGTGGACAATCATTTGGAGATCATGGATTTGTTCGAGCACCGGTTTTTCTTCCACCATGCGAAAGTTGAAATATCGGCTACATGCGTACTTCTTAGTGTCAGCTTGTTCGGAGTCGTACTTTTCTTCCAAGGCTGCCCAAATTTTCCTCGCGGATGAGTAAGAGTTGGAGTAGAAATCATACAACTCGTCCGAAAGACAGTTGAGTATATAACTTCTACAATCTTCTTCGTCGTTGGCCCATTTTTTGAGCAATGTGTCGTGATCCCGCTTTTGTTGTTCGTCAAACACAACAGTGTCTATATGATTGGAATTGTCATCGGTAATGATCCACACCACCTTGTAGATCAACACCTTGTTAGCCCATCGTCGAAAGAACTGTCCATTGAAGCGGAATGATCGGTTGAGCTCGTTTGTTCCTGTAGGGGCAGTAGAAGTCGCAACAGCAGCAGGCCTCTCCATTGGGAATAAGAAAAATTCGTCTTAAATTGTTGGGATATCAGCTGCTAAGGTCCAAGTAATTCGTCGGATAGGCAAGGTGAGGTGCGGACTAGGTCGCTCTCTTAAGACGAATTTTACGATCCCTTCTCGAAGAGGTGCTGTAAAGTCGCACTCGTGTCACCTATGGGATACAAGAGCCCAGCCTATCTCGTTGTTGTAGCTTCACTAGAAACCGCACTATCAAGTGAAGAGAAGCTTGCACCCGACACTATTATGAACTCAGAGAATATTGGAAAATAATAAGTGGGATATTTTTTGTTGGTTCAAAAGAGTGATCTAAGAAGAATGAAGCATGGTTCCTTTTATAGTGGGTATGAAGGAGCTGTTTCAAATTTTGAAATTATTTGAATTAAATCTGGGATTAAAGTCTGAATAAAGTCATTTGAATTTGACTGAAAAAAAAAAACTGATTTTGTAACGTAAGAAACGCACAAGCTGATATAAATTATAATTATTAGTTGGTCAAAAAAATCAGAGGTAATTAAAGGCTGATTTTTGTAACTGACAAATATAAATCCACATTGTACATAGAAAGTCAAACCAGTACTATTGTAAGAGGGGCCTGCAGAATTTTGAAATTCGTAACTCCTACTCCACCCTCATCCTTTGTTTTTTATAAAATATTCCAACAAAAAGCCCCAATGATCTCAATAGCTTAATATTCAGTAGTAGTAGAGTAGAAGAATTTGGTGAGTATTTGGAGTCAAACATATGTATGTAAGCATAATTTAGCATATTGGATGCTTGAAGCAATTGCATGAAATGTGTTTTTTGGCAATGGTAAGTGACTAAGTGCTTTTGAATTGCGAGCTTGTGAATGTTTAAGAGGTTTCATTATAATTACAAGTTCTGAAAACGTGAAGTTGGTCATTAATGTATATGATGAGATGCAGTAGTTGAGTTATGTGCTTATGATTAGTTTTTTCTCGAGGACAAGCAGAAGTTCAAGTTTGGGGGTGTGTTCAGTATATATTTTCTCACTTAATCATACCTTTTAATTGGACATGTCAGTATATTTTATTGATAATTGGTGCTTAGAGTTTTTGATTTATTGTGTTTTAGGCACAAATTGAAGAATTGAATAAGTTGAGGGTCAAAACTACAATTTAGAAGAGAACGTGGACAAAATTGAAGAAGTCAAACATCCAAGAAGGAAAGACTGTGGAGTAAAGAAACTTCCAAAAGATACAAGGAAACTGCATTTTCCTCAATTTTCTCCACCTTATAAAAAGCCATCTCAAGCACACAATTGGAAGTCCTCTCTTTACGCAATTTCAAGAGAAAAGAAGCAACAACGAAGACTTCAAGCATAGTTTTATCTTCCATGAATTATTTTAATTTCGTTTTTAATTAATCATGAGTAGCTAAATCTTTTAATTATAGGATTTTATTTTGAACCCTATGTGGGATTTATGAACCATTTTCTATGATTTTATGCAAGTTTTAATTCCGACTTATTTCTTCTACTTGTTTTATTAAGTGCATGAAACTGGCCACGTTATGTGATTTTCTGTATTGTTAATCGCATGAATCGAAAGATCGGGTTAATAATTAGAACTTGGGTAGAAGAGCATTTGTAGTATTAACATAGGAATATAGTTAATCTCTTATGTAGCCATTATTGAGATTTGTGCTTCATGGTGTGTTCTAGAATTAATTGCGTAGGAATACTGTAATTGAATCTAGAGTATTAGAATCGTAATACACGCGAAAGCGGGTTATGATTAATTTAACATCTCATGTTAGTAATCCGATTTAATAACTTGCATAATTGAAGGAATTGGGGAACTCATAATCACATAAGAGAAGAATAAAATCCTAGGCTTGTTTCTTTGATTAATCTACGTGTGTAATTGTTTTCTTGCTCTTCCCTTATTAATTTGCTTTAATTTAATTTAGTTAATTTAGTATAATTAGTCATCTTTTGGCTGTGTGGGGTGGGCTTGATAACAATTGGTAGAATTTAGCGTCTAGAATTAAATAATTAAATATTCTCTGTGGTATCGATACTTGGACTTAATAATCCATTATATTACTTGTACGATACGTGCACTTGGGTGTAGGTAAAATTACCAACAAATTATTATTGCAACAAAAAAATGGGTTGAATTAATATTAACACTTTTGTTGGTAAATAAGTTTTACTCAGCAACAAATAAGTGGGGTTGAAATATAGTTAATAAATATAAATTAACCGGTTATTGTAACTATATATTTAGTGACTTTACCTTTTTGTTGGTAAATAATTTTTACTTAGCAACGGATAAGTGGGTTGAAATATAATATTAACGTGGTTGTTGTAACTCGAAAGAACTGATTATCTTATAATTTTAGGGGATTAAGATAAAGATATGTGGGGACAAAATTTATTAGAACTAAATGACAAGCCAACTAAACATTCGCTTCACATTATTTATTAAATTAATTCCAAAAAAATGCCCTATACACAAAAAAAAAAAAAAAGGAAAAGTCTACATCAAATAATATTCATATTGCATTTATCATTTTCTATTATTCGTGTAATATATTCATTTTTGCATCTGACATTTTTGTTATTATTCTTTTTATGTAGAAAACATTTCTATTTTTTTTTCTTTTTTTTTTTAAAATATATTTTCACTATTATAAACACATTTTTACCCTTTTCTCTACATAATATTGAAAATTATGAATTTTCTTTTTCTTCGACAATAGTCACCTATAGACACACACGTAGGAACACATAGTCACACATAGTCATTTGTATTCACACAATTTGAAAACTCTAAGTGCCTCTTGAAACTCTAGCCGCCAGCCAGCTGTAGACATTCACAGTAATCCATAGTCACTCATAGTCATCCACGCTCATCCAAAATAAAACTCTAAATCTGCAACCACCATCACCACAGCCGCCACGACCGCCATAGTCATTGCATCCCCTATCGCCATAACTACCCCTCACCATAACCGCTAGCACCACCGCCCTAACAATCTCCATAACCACCCCAACCATGCCCACAACCTCCAAAACAGTAATATTACTGTTATGCTATTCAATATTACTGTTAAAGTCAATTAACCATTAAATTACTGTCTCCGGCTGTTAAATTACTGTTGGAGATAGTAATTTAGCAGCCGAGACAGTAATATTAATTAAAAAAAATATTTTTTTTTAAATTAAAAAAAAGTCAATGCCGGAGACCTGCGGTCAACAGCGGTTGACCGGCGGGAAAAAAAAATTTCAGGAAAAAAAGGTTTTCAAAAAACAAATAATAAATAAATAAATTCAACGTTAGAGAACTGCCCGGTCAATGCCGGAAAAAAAAGTATTTAGAAAAAAAATTATTTTCTGAGAAAAAAAAATTATTTCATCAAAATATTATGAAAATGGGGGTTAATGTGATATATTTGTTTTATATCCAGGGTCGCTATGTAATATTGAAGAAGTTAGAGTATAATGGATCGAATTGATAAAAATTATATTATGTAGGGTATTTTAGACAAAAAGACATGGGAATATGTTTTGTCTGGAAGACTTTTTTTGTTTGAACCAATGTGCATTTAACTCCCTTGTCATGTTCCTCTTTGTCATTTGCCCTTTTTTTTTTTTTTTATCTATTTTTAATTTATATATGGTTGTTGTATTTTTAGTAGACTAGTATTTTATATACAAAAAGTAATATGTTGTGGTATTGACAATTCATTCCAATAGAATGTAATCAAAAGTTCTTGTTACGTAAGCCGCATTTGGTTGGGAAGATTATCCATGATTAACTAAATAATAGGACTCTGTTTGATGTTTGGTATCCACAATAACTTGCCGGATCGATCCACAAATATTATGTTATCATGGTTTTATCTTGCCTTCTAGACATGTTTTTAATGGATTAAATAATCGAGTTTTATTAGATTATTTAATCTTATGTTGGCAACCAAATAAGGCCTTAGTAGTATTTTATATACAAAATGTAATATGTTGTGATACTGACAATTATTCGAATGGAATATAATCTAAAGTTTTTGTTATTTAATTGTGAAATAGATAAATAATTTCGTACTTTTTTGCCTATGTATATTTGTGACCATGTTGCTTTTGTTCTTTTATCTTCTCCTACTAGTTTATTCGTTTCGGTGTTTATGAAAAGTTAGATGCTACATTTGATTATTTATATTAAATATATTTAAACTGCAGATTTGATTAAATAACTACTCACTAAGCACACATACACAAGAATGAATGTGTGATTATATATATAGATTTACAATTCAAATCCACGCAATGTAAATAACTAGGTGTAGTATCTAATATACCCGACCTTTACTAGTCATCGTCATCATTCAAGAAATGAATGATATTACTTGCTTCATAGTGATACCGACTCATGACCCTCTTTTATTGAATTGACTTTAATCTATCTTTATTTTTACTTGCAACCAAGGTTGTAACAAGTGGTAACCGGGTCGGAGGCGGTCAGGCACCGACTCCCGATTAATCGGTGCGGCGGTGATTAATCGAAAATAAATAGGTTTTTAAAATTTAATATAATATATTTCTAGATATTATTCATAAATACTCAAAACATATATAAATAGATATTTAAACATAGTTATATCTCCATCATGTATATATCCTACTAACATAATAAAAGTTTAATAATAATAAGATCATAATACATAAATATCCTTATAAAATAAAAGGCATTTTTTTTGAATTTACATTTATTCTTGAACATTCCTCGCATAATAATTAGTTCTTTAACAATAACAGTTAGGGGACATAAACAAAATAAAGCATAAATTTATAGTTTTTAATTAAAATCTCAACTTTTATTTTGAATTATTAAAAAAAAAACGATTTTGACCGATTTTTGCCACCGAGTTTGACCCGCCTTAAAGGTTTGACCGCCTAAAACCGCATCACATGCAAAAAACCGATTTTTCAAACATTTACACTAAAATCGTAAAGGTTTTGGACCGCCTCCGCCCCGGAGACCGATTAATCGGCCGCCTCGACCGATTTTTAGAACACTGCTTGCGACTATCCCCATTGTCAATTATATTTTCTCAATTTTTTTAAGGGCTAATGTGCTAGGAGTCCCTAATTTGAAACCTAATTTGAACTAAATGACAATTTTAAATTCAAATTTTTAATCAAATTCTTAGTTTGAAATAATATGTGACCCACATTCTTAATTTTTTTTAATCCCTATCTTGCCTTTAACCCTAAATGTTATAACCACATATTCACATTTATTTCACGGATCTACTTTTTCTCTTTTATTCTTCTCTTCTCTCTGTCTCGCGTCTCGCTCTCTGGCTTTCTCCATCTTTCTCGTTCGAGCTATTTCTCCAAGCTCTCTCTCTTCACCACTCCACTCCATGGTTTGAAGGGAAATGGTGGCAAAGACGATGGAGGCGGCGTCGGCATGTGGGTTTTGCGATGGCGGTGGCTGATCTAGAGGGGAGGCGCCGGTGGTGACGCTTCTTGGGCATGAGGACGGCGCTCGTTGGGCGCCGGCGCTCGGGGATGGTGTTGGTGGCGCAACAATGTTGGGGGGTGGGGATGGCAACGGCAGCGTGGGTTGGGTTTGTGGTATCTTTAGCGGCGTGGGTGACGTTGGCATCGTGGATCTAGGGTTTGGTGGAGAAGATTTATGGTTTGGTGGGGCAAATCTAATATTTTTTCGTTTCATGTCTACAGATGTCTGTGGGTGTCTATAGGTGTCTATGGTGTTTGGCGGCTAGGGTTAAAAGGAGGAGTTAAGGTTTTAATAATATTGTGACTACGAATTACTACAGTTTTCTACGGGTGTCTATACCTGACTACGGTATACTACAGCTTTCCTACGATTTTCTGTAGATGACTATATCGAAAAAGATTTAAAAAATCATAATTTCCAATATTATGTAGAAAAAAAAGGAAAAAATAGATTACTTTAATTGTGAAAAAATACGAAAATGGAAAAAAAATAATAACAAAAATGTTAGATGCAAAAGTTAAAATACGAAATGCAGAATAAAAATGATAAATATAGTTTAAATATTACTTGCAAATTTTATTTTTTGTATATGAAGGGCATTTTTGAAATGAAATTTATAAAGGAAGTGAAGCAAATGTTTAGTTTGACTTGTCATTTAGTTCTAATAAGTTTTGTGACCAGGAACCTATATCTTAGAGCCTTTCTTTTTAGATAGTTATTGATGTGCTTCTTTTTTCTTTTTTATTATTATTTATTTTTCCATGGCTCTATCTTGTATTGCTACGGTTACACCGTACACGTTTCAATTGTCCATTAGTCGTAACAGACATTTCATTGGTGAATTTGTTTAAATATTTTAAAATTTAAAATTTATTATAATAATAATAATAATAATAATAATAATAATAATAATAATAATAATAATAATAATAATAATAATAATAATAATAATAATAATAATAATAATAATAATAATAATAATAATTATTATTATTGTTGTTGTTATTATTATTATTAAAGTCTATTTTATCCTTCAACTACACGTTAATTTTATTAAATAGAATATTTTATAGAAAAATTACGTATAATACCATAATTTAACAGATTTAATACAAGGTCTAAATAACTAATTGGTCAGTATAAATACTATATAGGTAATCGATCGCGTCCATAGAATATATAATAGATAGATAAGTATAGATATAGATATTGAACAAATAAACATCATTATCATCACAAACTAATATTAAATTCACCAGAAAAAGTCAGCCAAGTTAAAAAAAAGTTATATGAGTTGGCGAAGTTGATGAGCAACTTAAAAAAAAGGGTTTGCTTTTGAGAAAATTTCAATAGTAGAGAAATGGAAATATAGAAAGAGATCAGTTACTAGAAAAATCACAAAAAATGCCTATTGGTAAATATAATTTGACTGGACTGTTTCCTTAACTATTAGAATTAATTAAGACTAAACAGATCATTAATAGCTACCAATATAGAATCTCACCATCTTCTATCTCATCAAATTCTGAAACCATCAACTATCAATATCAAATATATCAACCCCCAAAATCTCATATGTATATACTCCTACTCAAATGTTTTTATTACTGGATTATCATCCAATATTTCGTACAAATTACTACGTCGTCAAGCGGACATGATAATCCTAAATCATGTGCCCCTTCTTCGTGTGGCGAAATTCGCAATATTAGCTATCCTTTCCGGCTCAAGACTGATCCAATACGCTGCGGTCTTGCCGAATACGAACTATCATGCGAAAACAATACAACTTCAATATATTTCCATTCTCAAAAATACCTCGTCCAAGTAATCAATTACCACAACTACACAATCCGTCTAACCGATGTTGCCGTACTGAATGAAGACAGTTGCTCTTTCCCCAATCACTCTCTATCCGCCACCGATTTTATTGATACTCGTCATACTTTCAATAAAAAAAGATACTACGCATTTAGGCCTACTAAAACATGGCCTATTACATTCATCAGCTGCCCTTATCCAATCAACAATACTCAACATTCACTTCTTTTGGATACTTCTCAATATTGTTCAGACGGTTTCAACGAGTCGAATAGTAGACACAAATACATAAAGTTCGGCCCGTTGAACGGTTCCTCTATAATGGATATGTGCAGAATAGATCTCATGGTGATGACTTCATTAAATCTAACATATAAAAATGAAGGATTGGTTTTGTCTAATCTCTCACAAGTCCATAGCTGCCTGGTATATGGGTTTGAACTTTCAGTGTTGATTTTGCGCTGTGGTTCATACTGTCAAGATTGTAAGTTTATAGAGCAAAGAACTACCTGTGTTCAAAACAACTCAATTGGTAAGATTAAAAGTTATTTTCAGCTTAAATGCAAATAATCGAACAAATTTTGTTTTCTCTTTAAAGTAGTAATATAAAAATTATATTACAAATTTCTTAGAATATTAAACTCTTATTTTTCTTAAAGATGCAGGTAAGTGCTTCTTCCCGCCTTGTATTTCATTTTTGGTAAGAATTCTCCAACTTTGTTGTGATATCCATTTAATTAAGTCATCATATATGCATCTTGTGTTGGATATGTTCCAACGTGATACACCTATAAGAACATCTTTATTGGAGATATAATATAACTAAATGATACAAATTTCACTAATAGACGTTTTACCTTTTGGTTGAGATGGTCATTAAATATGGTATTAAATCCCAAAGGCCAAATGAAAGGTCCTGAGTTCAAATTCCACTGCCACCCATTTCAAAAAAATTAATTGCAATGCTTCAAATGTAATTCGCATACACCTGAGGGGACGTATTGGAGATATTAATATTAAATGATACATTTCACTAATAGGTTAAGCTTTTGGTTGAGATGGTTATTCGACAATCTTCAAGGACAATCATAGAAAAATATGAGCAGATCGTGAGCCATTTAGATGGGGTCTTACGCTTTCAATAAAAACAATCGTTAGTATATTACTCACTCAATCAACACAATAACAAGACTCACTCAGAAACTCTATTTTTCTCTCTACACTTTTTTGTTCTTGTTTTTTTTTTTCATATAATACAAATGAAAAACTACAAAGACTATTTATAGGACGTTCCTAATATGTATCTACCATAATACATGAACATGTAATCAATAATGTTCTCCCCTAACCAAGTACGTGTATCAAACGAAGAGACACATTTATGTATACTTCCACATTCATGAATCTTCAATACATTAAACCTTGATTAATGAATCTAGTTTAATTTCCAACACGCCCCGCCCCCTAAGATTGATTCTCGCATTGCAAGTTGACTCCGCAACTTCTCAAATAATTATCTCTTCAGGGGTTTCGTGAAGATGTCAACAATTGAATCTTTGGACTTCACGAACTTCACTTTAACTTCCATCTTTGCAGTGCACTCTTCAATGAAATTATACCGAGTATCAATGTCTTTGTTTCTATCACGAAACAGTGATTTTTTGGCTAGTGCAATTGTTGACTTTTTTTCGACAAAAACTTGTGTCGAACCTTCTTAATCAAAACTAAGCTCATTTTATAAGATATTTAGCCATATTGCATGACATTCACTCGATGTCATTACCACATACTCAACTGAACGCTGCTACTCCAAAGTAGAATATAAAATCACTTGTACTGTTTCGCTCATCAGGATCTCCAGCCCAATCGACGTTGTTATATTCGGCTAGCTTCATAATGTTCGTTGCTGGGTAGAACATACACAAATTGGTAATTCCTTTAATATAGCGGAGTAACCTCTTTGCTACTTTGAAGTGATACTCTTTTTGGTCCTCCATGTATGGCTAACAAGACCAACTATAATAGAATATCTGGACTTGTGCACGTAAGATACCTTAAATTTCTAGCCAAGGTTTAATCGATGGACTCTCCTTCAAGGTGCTTCGACAATTTGTCTCCAATGTCAATTGGAGTACTAATTTCCTTGCAATTCTCCCTTTGAACTTTTTAACCACATCTTCACACATCCTTCTTAGGCGATGAAGGTGCCATCATCTCGTTGGTTCACTTTAATACCAAGAAAGTGAAACATCAACCCAATGGTTGTCATCTCGAACTAATTGGATATCTCATTTTTAAACTCATCAAATAACTTCATATTGTTCTCCTGTAAATATCAAATCATCAACATACAAACAGACAATTAACATATCACCTTTATCGACCTTCATATACATCGCATGCTCATGTGAACATTTTTTTAATCTCTTTTTCAAAAAAATATTGATTAATATGGCTATTCCACACCCTTGGTACTTGTTTCAAACGATAAAGTGCTTTCTTTAATTTCAACACATTATTCTGTTGACAAAGAACCAAGTAACCTTAGCTTCTGGTTGGTCAATGTAGACCTTTTCCTAAAGCACTCCATTTAGAAATTTTGATTTCATATCCATTTGATATATGTTCCACTTCTTTTGCTTGCATCCTTTGAGAACAAGCCTAGCCTTGCATCGTTTCACCTTGATTTTGGAATTCTTTTTCACCTTATAAACCCATGTAACTCCGATTGGTTTATTCCCAGACTGTAAGGAACTAAGTTCCCAAGTATCATAGTTCTTGATGGCCTCAATATCTTCGTTCATGGCCTTTTCTCCACTTATAATGTTTTTATGTCTCCTCAAAATTGATAGATCTGTATGCAACAATTAAAAAAAATAAGTTAGGAAACTGATTGAGTCGTTCATAAATATTGTGTAGTGACCTTGTCTTTCGAGGTCATTCGCTACTCGAACTTTCACCTTCGAATGAAGATGCAGGTGATGACGGTGGAGTTACGTCATCTAGGGGCTCATCTTCAAATTCCTTCATTGTTGCCTCTGATGGATAGAATGTGTAATGCTCTTTTTCTTGAGCATTCCAATACCACGAACTCTTAATATCGGACACAACGTCTCGACTTATTCTTATCTTTTCCTCAACAGGATCATATAACTTGTATCCTTTTGATGTTTTGTCTTACCCAACAAAGATATACTTTTGGATTTTGTCATCAAGCTTCCTCCGTGGTTGGTACGGAACATGGATATGGGTAATATTTCCAAAAACTCTCAAATGTGCTATGCTAGGCTTGAATTCATTCCAAGCCTCTTGTACTGTTTGGT